AAGAAATAATTTTTATTCACAATAATTCCCTATTCCATACGTATTCAAAAAAAATTACAGTTTCAAAATCCTCGGAACTTTATTTATTTTATAGCATTTTATCAAAAATCATTTTAGGCTCTAATAGTTAGGCCTTATAGTTATTTTACGTGGGAATATCCAAAATTTGAACTTCAGATGATCTTAAAAAATAATTATGAATTTTCATTAAAATTTTAGTTGTAAATATTTAAAATCGTATACATTTTTACCAGCAAAATAATTTTCATAATTGAGAAGGATTTTGTAAAAATTAGAACTTATAATAGTTAGAAAAAAATAAAAAATGCATTTCAATTTTCATTAATTGGAGTGATTTTATTTTTTTAGGTATTTAGCTACGGGTTGTTCATTTTCTGAACTTCGTGTGAATTTTAAAGTCGGTGCAAGTACCGCCCGTGGCATAGTTTTAGATACATGCAAAATAATTTGGCAAAAAATGAAGGCTTCATGCATGCCAGAATTAAAAAAAAAAGATTGGATAGAAGTTGCGGAAATATACAAAAAAAAAACTAATTTTCCCCATTGCCTCGGAGCTATCGACGGTAAACATATTCGGATTAGAAAACCTAGCAATACGGGATCAGAATACTTTAATTATAAAAACTATTTCTCAATTGTACTAATGGCAGTTGTCGATGCCAATTATAAATTTGTTGACAAATTGTCCCATGTTTCATTGTAGAATGATTTGCACACCTCATCCCAGCTGTTTTCTTTTTTTATCTTATCTGAATAATCTGAATGTGATGTGTTCCAAATAGCAGGGTGAGACCGCACTACATCAATTAATTTTTCGAAATCCAAATCATCAATAACATCAGTTATTGGATCCATTTTAAAAAGAACACAAGGTCGGTTGGAATTAAACTGCAGTAATTTTGTTCAAATCGATACGACTGTGGCCAAGTTTTCACTGGTCGTCGACAATCATGTACCGACATGTTGAAAATTGTCAAGTCGATCCATAGACATGATGACAATTTGCCTACACATATCTAGTCACATATTGTGTTGTCGCATTGCTTGACTATTAGGTACTAATATTATTCTTGTATGCCATATTTTTATTATAAAATATGTTTTTGCCACTAGGCACTTCAACACTTATGTATAGGATACATTTTTTAAGTCAGTTTTAAAAAAATAGTTAGCACTTTGTGGAGGTTATACTAATTACCAAGATTGAGCATTAATAATAAGTTAAAAAATTAAGTTAATAAATCATAATTGTAATAATAGTTATTATTTTAAATATTCAAAGAATATAATATTATTATTAATTTAATATTCTGTTAGATTTTATCAATGATTAAAGTATGTATACGCACCTACAATAATTAATTTCAATAAATACCTCATACATTTATTTAAAAATTATAAGACATTTATTGAGTTACCATTTTGTTTATTAGCTTTAAAAAAAGGTTTTTATATGAAAAAAAAGTAACCTAATTTAAGTAACTTTTATTTTATAACTAACTTGTAAGTTAAAAAAAGGTGAACAAATGGGTACCACTTTACTGTACAGCATGTCATTGTATTATTTTATTAAATAGATATGTAATATTTGAATCCAATAATAAACCTTTGTATACTAAAATGATTCTGAAAATACATGAAATTTTCAATTTTGACCTTCCAAAAGTACCAACTATAGATTCATTTTTATATCAGAGAAGATGCTGATCTTGAAAACAGGAAGAAAATTGAAAATAATGTTTGCAAAATTATGTAAGAAATGAAATAGATTTCAGATGACCGGACGTCAAAACGTACGCCGTGTGCTCATTCATATTATTTTATATGTATTTTACTGTGACCCGGCAAGGGTCCACCGGTTTTTTGACGGCCGGTCGCCGTGCTCCTCCAAGCCTGGTCGCCGGTCGAAAAATATGCCGGTGCCGGCGAACTGAGCGAACTGACCGGCCGGCGAAAAACGTCACTATCTGTTTACCATTATCTAACTCTATATAAAAAAAAACCGGACGGCAGACGCCGGCCGGCAAAATCCGGTCGTCTGTTTGGGCCCTAAGTTTTACGAAAGTACCTACATTAAGATTAGTTATCGCTTATCTAACACAATATAAATATAAAATATACCGTTTTATTTATTGTGTCTTGTCATCACAATGATACATGTACGATGTACACATTTCGAATATAATAGACATTCAAAACTATTTAATCTTTTTTCAAAAAAAAAATAGTGGGGGGTGTGTGAACCCTAACCCCCCATGGATACGGCCTTGCACATATAAGACTCATGGCATTTAGAACTACACAAAATATATTGTTGTTTACATTTGCGCACCTTCTCGTGGTGAAATTAGTTTTGCAAGAACATAATATAAATACAATTTTCACTGTCGTTTCGACTGTTAGAGGTAGAAAATGATTATCGTCATTAAATCAACAAAATACGAATGGTAATTACAATTATAATAAAATCGTTCGATAAAAATCACTATTAAATATATAATAATATTAGCGAACGTATTTGATACTGCGGTTTTACCCCTTACGATATAAGTCAGTATACGGTTTTGCCAAATGAGGTTGGTCATAACTAAGTTTGCCTGGTCAAAAGCCGAAATATGACATTTTGTCCAAGGATTGTGGGCAGTTCGCGTTTTGCCCGGGCATTTCTGAGGTTTTTCCGATTTCGACTTTTACCACTAACACATACATATAATTATTTCGTATGACATGCATATTATTATACTAATATCCGAATAGCGATCTTATAGATTTTAATAAATACAAAATAAAATTTTTTATTTGAATTTATATTATTTAGATTTATTATTTAAAAATAAATACTTAGTTGTTTTACGCTAAGGTTTAAGGTTGAACATTTTAATAATTTTAAATTCCGTAGTTTTATTGTGTGGAGTAACAAAATATTGTGTAACGCTCCCACACTTGTAAATTTATGTCTATAACAGCTTAACACGGCACTCAAATACTAATTAAAAATGTGAATTTTAGTGAAACACTGAAATTTATTTTCGTATTTTCAATATTTTATACTGAATGACATTATAATATTATGAACACTTATAATACAAAATTGAAGAGAAGAAATTTATCTATGCCTGTAGGTACATGAGTCAATTTTCAATATTTTATTTTCAATGTCCAATATTTACCTATAAAACTTGTGGTGTTTTTACTTTTTGAATTTTAATTATTGAGTAACCTTCGAAACAAGAACAGATTAACTTAATATTTTAATTGTTTTTACTCTCAAATCGCTCAATAAACCAGATCATTATTGGAAATGCAATAATTAATTTTCATAGAATTTTTACATAATATTCCGGTTAAAGATCGGAACATCAAATTATCCGAAATGGTACAACATCTAAACAGTACGTCGCACACTTGTATTGTCTCGCTTTACGTGCCAGACCAAAATTAGAATCAAGCATCAGACTGTCTCAAATATGAAAACACGAGAAAAGTAATATTAATATAAATATTATATTTTTAAGCACATCATTAAGTAATATTATGATTTGAAAAAACCGTTTAATATGCCATAAAGAGTTAGTGTGAAAATAAATATAATTTGCTGCTCCTAAATTCATGTACCCCAGCGGTAAAGGCATGGTTCTGAAGGCCAACATATACATGTGGAGCTTTGAAAATATCAATACCATTTGGAGCTTTTTATCATAGGGATAGGTAAGTTTATCGACGAATTCATATTGCTCTCTAACCTCTCATGTCACCTTATGAAGACCATGTGCCATGTACACGTAACATAGAGCATTTTTGTGTATAAGGCTTAAGCGGAGAAATCGATTTTACCGTGAGAGGTGCAGCTGCAACAGTTGAGAAGTAACACACTTTCATCTGGTGGTACATATTGGCAATTTGGAAAAAACATCAATTAAATTTTATCTGAGATCTGACATTATTCAAATAAAAATAAACAGAAATAATTTAGCACTGTGGCATGTAAACATTTATACGACAAGGCTGTCGCACAAATGCACAATAGTCCACAATACAATTTTTGAAGCATAAAAAAACGATGGCGTCAATGGACAATGTCCATTGCCCAACACATTCATAAGACCTTGAAATACGCAAAAAGGCAATGAAATTGTTTGTTATTTTAGTATTTCTACTTTTTAATATGAAATTAAAAAATTATGTTTTGCTATAATTTCATGTTCTATAAAAAAATATGCGAATGCTATAAACTAAAAGTCTAAAGCACGGCTTATAAATTATATAACTGTTTAAGTTATACATTTAAATATCAACAAAAGTCTATAAGTTTCCCAAATATGCAAATAATATTCTTACTTTTAAGTTTGATTATATATAAACTTGATGTTAATTGAAAGCTAACAACACAAATTTAATTCTGTTAAAAGCACCTTTGTCATGTTGTACCTACGCTCGTAAGAGAGAGCCACACATGTGGATTCATTGTCCTCTTAATGTAAAATAAACTATATTTTATGAACAAAACTGTAGATTTTTATAGTAGTTTTATTTTTTCCACTTTTATTTAATTACAAACATAAATATAAATATAATTAAACATGATTAAACAATACCTACAAATAAATAGGCTCATATTCTAGGTTTATATGTCATGTAAATGGGTTATTAAATATAATTGGTATAATAATTTAACTTGTTCAATGTTAAGTAATACTTAAGTACAAAACTGATAATTACATTAATATTATACACATGTAAATCTACCAATCCATATGATTGCGTATTTGTGTATGTGATATGTTAAATTATTTAAGCTATGCCACAAATAATAGGTACAATTGATAACAGCTACATGGCTCAAATTGCAACAAAAATATATAATAATATAAAATTAAAAAATTGTTGCTAGTTTACATAACATAACATTTAATCCATACAAATCTTGATAGTCCAGTAATATGCACAATCTTGAAAGAGATATTATAATTACATCAATTGTACTTCTTATAGTAAAATAGTACTATAATTTTAGTTCTAACTGGATTTTGGCCTTAAAAATTTCTTAGATGAGTGGCCAAGAGTCATAAATTTTTTTAGAGTGCCTTTGCTATGTGAAGAATTTGATGGTGATTGGGACGGCGACGCAACATCTTGTTTGTCTTTTTTTGATTTTACCTTTTTGATATTCTTCAAAAGTCTTTTGGAAAAGTTCTTTTTCCCGTCCATAACTGTGGTATTTACTGGTTTGATACATGGCAACGTTTCATCTATACACATTTTTTCAATCAAAATATTATTCTACAAACTTTATGGGTAGGTAATCATTATTTTTTATACAAAATATCTTTACCTATTATTTTCTATAAAGTAGAAAAAAACAGATACAAACACTAAAGCCATTCAGATTATCAAGCAATTTATCAAAAATGTTTAATAAGGAAGCATAAAATAAATGCAATTAATATGATTTCTACTTCTACAAATAAATAATTAGCAAGGCAAGATATGCGTTTCGTGACAGTCAACAATTTCACACGAAACAAAATTTAAATGGAAATTTTATACTAAATAAATCATATCAGTCAATGTGCCAAAATATTATCAGCTTTTTAAATTGCACAACAGTAAAAAAATTAACATCTAATATGAATTAAGTTTATATGAACCTAGAAAGAGAAAAACAATTTTTAAATTATATTAAATACAGTAGTCACAAAATACATAATATTAAATATGGGATTATGGTAGAATTTTCATTGAATTATCAATTATAAATTTGTGATTATAAACTAATTAGTCATAATTCATAAGTGTCTTTCGGTTGAAATATAAAAGAAAATGAAGAACTTCAACATTTTTTCATGATCTCTAAATTGTTTTGTTTTATTTACATCATAAAATTAAAATAAACATTGAAAAACAAAGTGCTTCATCCTTAATATTATAGTATTTTGCTATTGACTATCAGGTTATCAGTTTGCTCATTATATTATGCTATTTTATAAAATAATTATTAGTCTTTAAACAATTTTAGATTTGTAAATCATCCTTCATTTCAATAAAATATTTTTGTCAAGTTGAATTATACATTGGCAATTCTCCACTCCATTCAAGCATCATTGAATTAAGTCTTAAAATGATAAGATATGTTATATTATAAATTTAGTAATTTTACTTGAATTATGATAACCTTGACGATGACACTATATTTCAGTTTGCAAATTAGAATACAATGAAAACAACAAAAAATAAGTAATTAGCAACAGTGATTTTGGAGAATAATACAGTAATTATAAATTACAGAATAAACATTTTTAAAAGTTAGTAAAAATCAGATGTAATAGTTAAAATATTAAAATTATTGATTTTAAGTTAAAGTGTTATACTAGGTAACAAAAAAAAAATAAAAAAATATTACACCAGCAATGAGAAAATGCCATACATAAACATTAAACATATACCTTTGATGGTAAATGAGCATGAAATAATACAAGCATTAACTATTTAAATCTATCCAGAAGAGAATAATAAAAACCCTTGGATCCCTTCATATTTCCATTGCAATGAGTCTTTAGAGTTAAATCTTAAATAACTTATTGTCAAATTGAAAAATATCATAATTTATGATCGTATGTTAGTTTTTTTCCATATTTAATGTTCTATTATACCCTTTATTAATTTGTATAATGAATACCATTTTACTGGGGAGATAGAGACGGTTAATTTTAATATAGTGATATTTGAATTTTTTAATTAAAGCAGGCATCACAGGATTTTAAGAGCAAATTGATGTCATACACATTACACATGCAATCACCTTAAAAAACGAACAAAACGTCATTCCGCAAACCACTAATGATGTCATACATATTCTTATACTAGTAAACTATACGATGGATATTTTTTGAACCTTGAGCAAAAGTTCCAATTTGATTGAACACACTACGATCTTCTTCGGCTTCACGCAACCTATCTTTTTCTAGATTTTCAACAATTTCATTACGCCTTTCGACAACTTCAACCAATCTATTGAAACAAATAATGTATTTTAAAAACGGTTTTGGTATTTTTACATAATATTATATTCATTCTTAACACAAACCTTCGGATAAGTTCTTCTTCTCGGGCTTTTTCTGTATCTGTCTTAGTGTGGTCAGGCTTAGACATTAATACACGTATTTGGTATTCTAATTCAGCGTGTTCCTCTTCAAAATTATGTTGTTTTCGCCTAAAAATAATGGTTTTGTAAGAAAATTACACTGTAATTGTTTTTATCAAATACGTACAGGTACATAAGTTCGGCATGTTTTCTGAACAATTCATTTTTTTCATTAACTAGTTCAAACAATTGTAACACCATTTCTTCTACGTCAACATTGTTCAAATCTAAAATAAATGATATCAAAATAATACACATATACAATATACATACATAATACAAGGTATAACAGAAAGAACTGACTAATGCAATAACTTTTGTTATAATCAATAATAAAAATAAATTATTAATTTAAAACACTTGCGCTGTATTTATAGTGTACATTTTTTTTTTACTCCTTGAAACTGAAAATAAAAAACTTAAAAACTTGGTTTGATTTTTTTTGGAACATTTCAAAATAGCCAACTTGTAAATCAGATTATATGAGCTATATTGATGTTAAAAACATTTATTTAAGTAAAGTAGTTTTTTTTTTCGAATTTTTTTAATTATCAATAATTTTTGGAGTAAACTAATTTAAACTGTACTTAATAACTTTTTCCAAAATATTATTTTTGACAAGCATTTATTTTTTAAATTATTTTTTATCCAATTATCATACATTTAACAAACAGTTTTTTTTTATCAGATCTGCCTGATACATTCTGTATAATTCTATACACATACCTTCGTTACACTTTAATCGTATATCTTTTTCCAATTTCACTCCTTGTCTCTCAAGCTCTTGCTGTTTTATTTCAATATCTAACAACTCTTGCTTGATATCTTCCATAGGCATAGGTTTGATTCGTCTCCTCTGTGGTATTGGACACTGAGGGGCCGGCCCTTTTTTTCGTTTCCATTTCCCATGTGTACTCTTGTGTAATCTATATCGTTCCTGATTACTGGTTGAAGACGGTTCACTGCCACTACAACTGGAGTCTTCTAAACTATTAGGAGACGACATTTGCATACTATTTGAGTATTCAATGTTTCCAAGAGATAGTCTCGATACTGGGGGTAGTGGGGCTGGTTTTTTTTTTCGAGGAGTGTTTGAATAGGAAGATATACTGGAAGCACTACTTTGCTTGCGATGGGTTTGGTAGCGAGGTTTCAATATAGGAGACAACACCGTTCTAAAATAACAACATATTTTTATTAATATTATCAGGAATTTTAATAAATTGTGACCCGTGGCAGTCAAACAGGGGGAATGAAGTGGATAGATCCCCCATGACCTTGTTTTCAATAATTTTAAATAATAATAATTATTATTATAAATTATATTATGAACAAACAACATAATATGAGGAATCTTTTATATTCAATTTTAAAATTGTTTGACCAAGTAAAAACAATTTAATCGACATTCATAGAAAAAAAAATTAAAAGTGTCTGTACATAGTTCAAAAGTCAAAATATTTTGAAACTGTATTATGTATTGAAAATGATAGAATAAACATTTGGTGATAATTTAATGTAGATACATTTATTCGTTTTTGAATTACAAAAAAATATCAAAAATGATTTTATCAAAAACTGGTTTTGAGTAAAAATTGTCGTTTTACTTATTTTTTTTTACCCGATTGTTTTAAAAATTACTATGATTTATCACTTTCAAAAGTACAAATTTTCCATCAGAAATAAAATGCTGTAGTTTAAAATTAAAGAATTTTTTCTGCGACTTATCGTATGTAGGTACAGACACAATCTTTTTTTTTTATGAACAGTAAACACATATAATTGTAAAATCAAACATTCATTGTTCCACTCAAAATTTCAAATTAGCCACATCCTCAACATCCCAAGACAACATTTGACCGCCATAGCGCCACTGATTGTGACGTACTCAACTATGGCATTCTATTATCAATAAATAATATTTTATCGCAATACAAATTAATCATACTGAATAATTAAGTTAATCCAATATAACACAATTGTGTAAATTGTCCCGTAAAGATATTGGTCTTAAAAAGTTTAAAATAATAATTTGATTGAAGTCATTAACTTATAGGTACCTATACGGTAATACGGTGAAAACTGAAGATAAAATAAAAGCTTTAATACGAATTATTATAAATATAATTTTAGCCAAATGAAAAGCTATAGAAATCCCTTAAAGAAATATCTAGTCGATTAAATTAAAATTTAATGCAGAGATAAATTTGCACGAAAACGGTTAAAATCAAGCACATGAATTCTTACCTAGGTTTGGGCAATGGGGGCTGAGAAAAAGGTTCGTTTTCATCTTCATCACTCGAAAACGGATTCAAACTAACATTCTTCTTGGCTGCGAGTTCATCATCGTCTTCTAAATCGGATCCGAACGGATTAGTGCTATCTTTCTTGTTTTTGTTACCATCGTCCTCTTCATCGTCGAACGGATTTAAATTTTCAGGGTAATTGATTTTTATTGGAGATTTAATTCTTTTTCTAGGACTAGGAACCGGTACCTCTTTATTACTCTCGTAATAGTCCATTTTAAGCAGCTTGTTGGATAAAGTTTTTATTTCGTAATCCTCCGGAGAGTCTAGCTGCTCTTCAATGGGGGCTTTACTAGCAGGAGGAAGTTCGAGGACTTGTTTCAGATCATCCGATAGCGGCGGTATCTGAACGAGTTTCGGTGTTTCCACCGCGATATCGTCGTCGGGTGGATTCGAATCGACCGGTAAAGGTGGAGGAGTGGGCGACGACATGACGGGTGCGACGGTATCGGGTAGTTGGTCGGATACGACGGCGGCCGTGGCAGAGTCCGTCGCTCGGTCCTCGTCCGACGGCACCGATCTGCCATCCTCGTCGGCGACCACCGCTCCCACGTCCGACAATGTTTCGCGGCTGCCGGTGACGCTGGCTGAGGTTTTCGCGTCGCTCGACTCTTTCTTGTCACTGTCCACTACTACACCGCTGTCGTTGTCGTCGCTGCATGTGATGGCGGCCTTCTCGGTGACGGTGGCGGCCGTCAACGGATCGGCCATTCTGAGTGTGACCGGCCGCTGCGCCTTTTTCGACGCTTTCACGTCATCTGTACAATCGGCGGCGGCCAGTGTTTCGAACAGCGCCCGGCGGTCACCGACCAACGAGGAAGCCGACGACGACGACGGTGGCTGCGGTTGGGGCGTCGTCGTCGCCGTCGTCAACGACACGGTCGGCGACACCGTCCGCTCCTCGTCCGGGCAAGTTTCGCAGCAGTACTTGCCGTCCTGCGTCTCGTAGTAATTGGCCACGCTCAGCAGGGCGGCGCACCGGGCGCACTTAAAACAGGTCCGGTGGAACAGGTGGCCAGATATGAGCAGACGTTGGGCTAGGAACACGGACTGGTTGCACACTCTACAACCGCCAACGCCTGCGCCCAACTGAAACAAACGCGAAACAGATTTAGCGCGCTGACCAGGATAACAATAACGTATGGGTTATGGCAGGACTACACGGCTGCTGCTATTTTTGAGTTCTACAGACAAATTAGGCTAAGTATATGAATTAATACTAATTATGTACTTTTTTTAGTGAAATATAAATATTCATAAGACATGCATTGCATAAGCAAAAATTAAATATGTGCTAGGAATATTAGTTATTATAAAATATTCTAGTTATTTCAAAATGATCCTGTCTTCCGAAACCTCTACAAGTTATATAATATAAAATTATATTATGAATCTTGACAAAAAATAATCAAAAATAACGATTACCTATTTTTTAATAAGAAATTCGACTTTAAGTTTAACTTTTGAAACTAATAAAAAATAAATTAATAGTATTATAGCTAATTAATCAAGGTATACATGTATATTTAAAAATAATTAAAAATAGATGCCTTAGTAGTATGTATTCCATGTTCATAATAATAGCATTATAACTTTAAATGTGTAAGTACTAGGTATATTGTATATTACTAATAAATAAGGAAATAAGATAGGTATAATAATATTCTACAATGAACCAAATGTTTTTATTTTATACTGAGAATCATAAGGAGAACTTACTTTTCGTCCTATTATCGATTTACTTCTCAATGTGATTTTGTATTTTTAAGTACAACAAAATAAAATTAAGTAGCATAAAATGTGAGTATTTTACATTAAGTATAACCATTGGCAAAGAATTTAGAACTTATACTTTGTTAAAAATAACTATTAAACGCTAACGAATAATCAGTGTGACATGAAACACTAAACTAATAACACTAATTCTAAATATTTCGTTATATCTATTATTTTCTCTAATTAATCTATAGTTAATTTAAATATTGAAAATTATTTACTTCAAACAACAGCTCGCTGTGGTAATGAATGTAACCAATGTAGGTGAGAATATTAGGTAGGATCGGCAAGGTCAAAATTCAACCACAATAAACGATAAACCGCAATAAAATTAATGTAATGACTAATGTCATTTAATTACAGTTATAATTAAGTAACCGACTATAAATAAAAATGTCTAAGATATTGTTGTCTATGTGTATCTTCTAAACATAGACAACGTAGACATTAAATTTGATTTTCAAACAATGGCAGCCAACGAATAAAACATTATACAATAAAATAATATTTTTAATTTACAAACTCACATCTAACCTGTTGACTTTTGTTCAATATTTGTTTATGAATGGTATGACTTGTTATAAAAACACGTTGACTTTTACATGTATGAGTCATTTTACTATGAGAGCTAGGTGTGTGAAATCACCACGCCTTGTTTGCTATCGTATTGTCTTTCTCTATACACGAAGTTTTTCGACTATTTCAAATTGGCATATGCTAAACGATTAACACTGCATTTGAATATATAATCCGTAATAATGATATTACAATTCCATAATACAATTATTTATCAAATGTGTCAGAAGTTTTAGAATTTTTGATTAATCACACATCGAATATTAAGTTCAATATTATATTATATTCATTAAGATTCACTAGAATTCATTCAGAACTCAATTGTCTTATCCTTTAAATGTAGAGTTGATAGGTATTGCTACAATGTGGTCCTAAATTTCATCGAAATCCTCACTTTAAAAATCGTCGAAATTATCGTAATATAATATTTGTATATAAATTGATAAACAATAATAAGACTGTCCTTGAATTTCTGGCACACGAACTAAACATTAAAATTAATTTTGAAACATTAGAAACAATGATTAATTTATATTATTTAAAACACTAACAAAAATTGCTCGTCATTTTCACTCGTAAACCTTTTAATGTCTATTGGTGTTCTGTCTGCTTAGATTTATTTCACAGAAACCCTATAATCATGTAAACAATATTTAAGAACTGTTTAATACTGTTAAAAATTTTGTCATTAGACATATCATATTGTATTGTATTTTGATAGTACCTTTTTATTATTTTATTTTTCTTCTTTTTTTCATCTGTTGATGTGCTACTCTTATTAAATTAATAATTTTTGTCAATGCAATTTTAACTTTTAAATAAATCAATTATTTATTTATATAATAACATCTTAACATAAGTAAAATTACAATAATTATACGTAACACATACCTATAACATGTATTATGTATTTAAATTATATTGACCAATATAATAGTAATATAAAAATTGTAGAACATACAATTTGAATATAATACTTCAGTAGAATACTTTTTGCAAGTTTCGATTGATTTTTAATTCATAATTATTAATAATTATTAGTCATTAATGGGTGGATTAATAATTCACATTGCTGGAATGTTCATAATAATAAACGTGACTGCTAAGAGACCATCAAAATTCATTCGATCAAAGATGGACTTTTAAAAACTGGATAACTTTTCTCAGATCACCAACTCCAGCCACTAAATTGCACGAAGTTCACAAGAATTAGTTATTATTTATTGTCGAATAATATTAAGTTCAAAACCGTTTTCTGAGTTTTGTCAGTTACTGCCTCAATATATCCCAAACTTAACACGACTATAGTCTTATCAGCAATGTTTTTGGTTTTAAATCGTTATCTAACATCGTAATATTTCCAGTTGCCATTTTATTAATGGGCTTATTGAAGGAAATATTTATGCACATAGTTTGCTAGAACGACTCAATATTCATGTTCCTAGTAGCATCAGGTTTAAAGGATTATTTTATAATCAGTTAATCATATTAATTTTGCTAACAATTCTCCCCTGATTAAAATAATGTCGACAGTCAATGGCAATAGGTAATTTTTCTTGTGTGCTGGCTAGCTTCAATACATCAAATTATATTTTAAATTATAATAAGTAATTCTCTGTAAGCTAATAGTAAAATTAGTTTTATATGTTATTACAATTTGTTTTGTTACATCTTACTTTTGTTTATCATAAGATTGTTAATTTTTATTACTTTCTTTTAAATGTTCAAAAATCCGTTTGGCGTTTATTCAAATAAATAAAATAAAATAAAAAATAGGTATAATTATATAAAAGTACCTACAAATACTTTTAAGTGAAATCAATAATCATAAATAAATATGCATTTAGTAACAAGTTTTATAAATTATATATTCTACTACATTACCATCAAATCAATACTTAGAAATACATAAATGAGTTATAAGAACTGTATGCGCAATTTTTTTCTACCAAATAATGTATTAATTTGAGATAACAAAACAGATTATACATTTTAAACGTTTCTAATGATTACCTAACTTATCAAGTATAATTCTCAGTAATTAATAATTATAATATTCAAAATAATCTAAATATTAATAAATTAATATAAAACAATTTTGTTCAAGCCATTGTGAACAGAATACAGACAGTGGCGCAACAGGATCGCTCGCTCTAGGGAGTAGGAGGCGTTAGTCTCGTTTCGTTCTCATTGGATCAAGCCAGCATTATTAAATTAATATTAATTATACATTTGAGCATAATAAAATAATCACATTGAAAAAATGATTCCGAGCTGAGATTAGACTTAATAAATACTCATTTTATTTCAAAAATACATTTTTAAATAAATATTAATTTAACTATTGAAGCTGTCATCAAAATTTACTAAAGCAGATATACACATGCAGTTTAAAATCTACAAAAACTTTCACCACACAACCCAAAGCATAATTTAATTTAAAAATTATATATATTATACATACATGCATACATATAAAATAATATATATACATGTATATATTTTACCTTCTAGCAGTAGATCTCAGGCTTATAAGACCCCATAAGATCCAAGCTGTCCTCCTGGACAATACAAATAAATAAACATAAGAATAACGATCTGTTTGGGTTATGTATAAATAATAAAATTAAAATATAGTACATTTTGACGTAATAAATTATTATTAACGCTATGCATTCAAATTATAAAAATATAAATAATAACAAATCACAAAAATAATAAATTTAAAGCTTATTATTCTCACGAATGTTAAAAATAATTAATAAATCAAAGATTAAAATATAATATACATACACAAATAACCATGATTACGTCAGATAAATTAAGTAACAAATTAAAATTAATTTACATATAAAACGAAATGCTTAAAATATAATTTGAAGAACAATCACAACTATAATTTATTACGTCAAAAAAATGACAAAAATAATTAATGAAATGTATTCACTTTAGATTAAGTGGCCAATATTACTCTTGAAACTCATAACCTATAACTTTTTATATTTTGGAAGTTAAATAAAAATTAAATAAACCATATAGGTCTATATCAATAACTTTTTGTTAAAATAATCTTTACTTCAAGATGTAATTTATTATTAGGTATAACGATTTCATATTTGAATAAATAATTTTTGTTTGTAAAATTGCGTCGTATTTTAATATCTAAGCATAACTAAGGCGGGTTTGGCTTAAAACTTTAATATGCCTTCTACTAAATATTATAAAAAATATTATGCTACTATATTTAATTCACCTACTCAGGTGGTCGTAAAGAAAAGTAGCCTAACCACGGACTACCCAATGAATGAAAAACTTTAACTTTCTTAAAATTATGTTAGGATCAAAATAATGGATTTGCTCTTAATTAAAAATGTATTCCATACAAAGATTTTAAAAATTAAATTCAGATTTTTTTGATAATTGTTTTAGGCAATTTTTTTAGACAAACCTGCAAACATATCAAAATTATTTATGAAAGTACTTAAGAAATATTCATTCATAAGATTGTATGCATGGTATTTTAGTTATTATACTTAAAAATATAATTAAAAACATAGAAAAATTTATAAATCATAAAATAATAAAAAATTACAAATTATAAAAGTTCTATGTTATAGAATGTAACAAAATTTGAAAACGCACAAAACACAGGATGGTATTCTTAGCCGAATTAAATTATACCGCATTCGGAAAAACATTCCGCAGGATCAAAATATAAAAAAATTACTCTAATAACGACAAAAGCTGATGATTAATGATTGATTAAAATATTTATTAAATATTGAACACAGATAAAAAATCCTATTAATAACATAACGAAATAAAATAAATAAGTTCACCTTTGTTGGAGCATTTTGACCGGATCCTGTATTAGTTCTGGGCCGTTCAACTGTGGTCGGAGATTCAGGTGATGTTTTCACAGGCGTCGTAGCTGTAAATAGAATAAAATACATTACTAAAGAGAAGGGACACAAACGAAATCATAATCAAAACTGAAAGACGATGTCAACGAAACTAACTGCAGTAAGCAGTATAGTAGCTACTATAGCAGGCAATAGCGAGTATAGTGTGCGGGGTGGGCATAATAATGAATTAAATTAAGACGCGACTGGAAGTCACACTAAGTCAGAAAAGTATATTTTATTATTCTGTGAACACAACATATTATAATTGGCTACATCCTGGATTTGCAAATGAAAGATTAGCAATGTTATATTTGACGCATAAACATTGACTATAAATCAATTTAATTCTAACTTTCTTAACAGTTTATAAGAATCCAGATCCCAACAAGTCAAAAAACTAGACAAGGAGAACACAGGTGTAAAAAAAGAAGAAAGTAGTTAGGTATTAACTCAATTACTTACTTTTATAATAGTATAAGATTTTTTTTTTTTATTAGATAAAATAGAATATTTGCAATCTGTAATATTTATATACATACAATAAGTAAATTTGATAATATAAGAAACAACATGAATGGCGTGAGGAGGGAGGCCCACCAGTGTGGATACCCTCTGGCTTGGGGGAGTATAGGATTAAAACAGTATATGGACCACAAATAAACATAATTAGAAATATTTTAGAATCTAATTAATTGGTATCAGCATTTTGGGGTCAAAAAACTTAAATATTAGTTTGTATCAGTCCTTTAAATTTTTAGTGTACCTATATTAATTCATTATTCAAAATAAGTAATCAGGTGTAAATATAAAGATAACATTTTTAGTAAGAACAATGACGTAAGTATAATGTATAAATAATAACGTTAAAATGTATTACCACTTGTTCACTGCATACTAGGATTAAATTGTAATTATAAGGTGTCTACATTAAATGTAATATTATTTTAACTATTATTCACAACACCAAATGTTTGTTATTTTTTATGTGTAGCCGTGTAGGAGCCTACAATTTGGCTCGGTGGTTGGCCTTAGTTACAAATGAACCACCTATTTGAGAAACGACGTAAGTCTATAAAAGGTAATCTGAGAAAACAAGAAAAAACTGTTTTTACGCCACCCGCAGTGGTACATGGTTATTTTTCTTTCATACTGATTATTTACAGTGGTAAAATTAAATATGTTTTATGCAAATGTTCACACATGATCTGTCTATCATTTGATAACACACATTCCACTAAATATCTCAATTTGTGATATTTTGTGACTTACGCCGTTTCTCAAATAGCTGGTTAAAATGCATTCTGTGATCAAACATCGGCCGACGTCGCTAGTTCCCGGATGGGTGATCACCTGGGTTTTAAGTGACGAATCCTCACCCCACATACAAGTGTTCCTCAACCCTCCTATAAAATACTAATGGAAATATAGCTACCGATGCTTAAGATCAATATGAAAAAAAATATTTATACAACAGAATACATAAATATTATAATACATAGATTTTATCACAAACACTATTAAGTAATAAAATAATTGTAAAAATAAAAAAATGTTTTTTTTCTTGTAAGAAGCAAACTACCATAGAACTTAATATAATAATTAAATAATATACCTGCCGAACAATTTTCAAGATAATATTTTCAATGATTACAAGTAAATACAACAATATTAAAAATTGATACCTTTTACATACTATAATATGTCATCGTTTCATAAATTGTAACAAAAATAAAATTATTTATATAAAACGAAAAATAGAGTGAAAGCTGAAAGGTAACAATAATAATTATGTTAATATTATTAAATGTGATCTTCATTTTGCTTTATATAATGAATGAGATAACAATAAATACTGTTCTCATTACGAAATGCGTGGTGATGATAATTTTATTGTACATCATAAATGTGCAATCATTTGATCCCACAACAAGGAATTTTTTTTAGGTCATTTAAAAGTTAGTAATTTGAATCGGTAGTAGGTAGTAGAATGAGAAAAAACAGTGGTAGTAATATTTGCAATGTGCATTATAAACTGTTCGACTGTTTTTAACTCCGCATGTAACGAACACTTGTACGAATTAAATCTATAGACTGGTGGTCAAGAGGTCAAACATTGAAAATGTATAACCTCGTAGGAGCGTCAAATTATCAAAACTACTTACTGAACGAAGAATTGAGAGAATGTTTTTCGTCTATTTTTTCTAATCAGCTAGTATAATGAATTGGAATGAAGCCAAAATTCAAATTTTGAAGTCGCGAATAGACGTTTTACCAAAACCGGTTTTTCTACGGAAGGACATTGGTCAGGTGATCTACGTTAGGGCCGTATCAGGCAATGTTGTGCAGAATAGTGTATTCAAAACAACGGATGTTTATCTTGTGTAATCTTCAAAACCATGCAACATCATAATATGTTGATTGTATTTCGTCTATAGTACATTAATTTTAGAATATTATGCCAATGTTGTTGCAATAGTGAAAATGTCTGGAAAGAGCAAAACTAAAATCACTATCAGTGAAAGTTTCTCATTGGGATCAACGCGCACATGTGACCTTAATAAATTATAAACAGTGTTGCGAGAACCGGTTTTCATGTCTCTATCACACTCGATGTCTTTCTCTTGTTAAATGTCGAGTTGCCAAACAGCGCTGCTAAGTTAATCAGCACTGTATATACGTACTGGCCTATTTGTAGAAACGTTTTTAACTCCACCAATCCACTGGGTTTAATGATTTTTCAAAGGTCACGGCTACTGACCCACTACCCAGTGAAGATCACGATCAATTACAACATATTCGTAGATCTGATCAAAGTCTAGGTAATATAATTAATATTTTCGGATTTGTTTATGGCATTTAACAGAAAATCATTAAGCAATATAATTTCAATTGTTAACAGTAAATAAATGTAAATTTACCTCAAAGAAAATTTGAAAAATATTATAATACAATTGAAAATATTCTTATGTAAATTAAATAGGTACACATTAAGATTATATACCATACTTAATATGCTTAATACTTAATATGCTATTTTGTCATGATTAAAACTGCACTAAAGAAACTAGTTTGTGAGCAATCTTTGGGTGAAACGGACTATTCAAATTTTATATTTGTACAAAATTATGCACTCCACTATGTTGAAAATTAAAATTTAGCTAAAAATATTCAACATTTCATTGCAAGAAAATAAATAAAAATATACTTAAGAAATTTAAATTATTTTTACTTTTAATTATTATATCGTATAGAATGGAATAAGTGCATAGTTAAATACTTAAATATAAGATTATTACATACATATTTAAAATTGTTCTCAATCTTTAATAGGTATATTTTACCAGTTTATTATAACTACAAATAGGTTTTTATACCTCATTGGTGGTCTTTTAGGCCTTTCCATTCAACCAAGTCGATCACACGCACCCGATAGAAACAGGTTTCCTGCCACCATTTCCGGCAAGCTAAACATACGTGCACGCATGCACCGCCTTCAAATTACCATCCTGTGTGGAGAGTCTACTTAAGAAAATTATCAGGAAAAAATCACATAGTCACGACTTGATTTTTTTTTCCTATATATTCTTTGCACATGTCCAGTAGTAGAAAAACTATTGGCAATTTCCGAAAAGATTATGTAAATACTTTTTACATAATTACAAATCATTATTTAGGCAGTATTCGACTCTCGTAGTAGTCGAAAAAAAATTTAAAACTCAAACAATTATTAAAATGGTTAAAAACAACGGTTGTGTCAACAACCTTATTTTTTATCATTATTACTGTGAAACTCTTTATGTGACTAGTTTAATTAAAATAAAATTTAAAACCTAACAACAACATGTTATACAATACTACGAAAAGTATGCACGAACATCAATACCAAAAAATGGAATCAAAATAAGTCTTATATATTTACCTATTATTATTAATTATTATTTATTACATATTTCATGCTATTAATCAATTCTACTTGAACGCCGAATAAAAAAAATAAAAAAATGCAGTCTAATAATTACCTTGTGATGAGAAAGTTTGGTAGAACTGTGATAGGTAAGTTAATATCGATAGTCTGTCTGGTATTTCGACGCAAACCATGTCTTCAGGATCTAAAAGTGCAGGAATGCCCAGATGATTTTCAGCAACTCGAAAAGCCAACTCATTGTTACCGTAAATATCATTTTTGTCCAAACTATTATAATCACTAAAAAACAAATATTATTAGTAGACATATTATAAAATCCTATTTTTTTCCTTTTTAAGAACACGAAAATTGCAAGTATTAAACAGAATAGTATTTTTCCACGGTCATGATTTTTTGTGACATGTGCACTTCATTTTCTATATACCTATTGAAAAATTATTTTTCCTCGGGCAATTTTCTCTTCTATCTATTTCAAGCATAAACCTCTCTGATGTTTTTGTTACGTTACATGCGTGTTTTATTATTATTACCTTTTTTAGTTATTATTAAATAGGAGATGAGAAAAATACTCATTTCATGGGCATCGAAAATATGCTACAATAACCGAAGCGAATTAAAGATTTGAAACCTATATATTGTATACATATTATACGTGATAGTTAGGCGACCTTGACTTCATCTTAACACATTAAGATAGTAAAAATATTGGCAGCAATACTAGACTTGGATAAGGTTATTAATCTCTAAACATAAAAAAATACGATGATCTTTCTATTACACTTTCCAATTCCAATTTTAAATGCATTAACAAGTCTGTTGTTAAATTTGTAAAAAAGACATATGGCAAGTTGTTGCATTAGTTTCTATATGGGAACTTTTATTTTACATGGACATATGCGTAATGTAACTGCAATACCATCATTACTTTTAATTAATAAAATAAATGGTACTATGTAATTAGAATGAATATTAGACATCAACAAAACCTAAAAAATATCTTTTATTGAACGAAAAAATTACTTCATAACTTATTATGTTTATGCCATAAATACAATTTAAACATCCGATATTTTAAGCAAATTCTTAGATAGTATTTATAAATAGAGGTTTCTTTGTGGATATACTGTATACGATATAATAATGTAACAAAGCATTACTATTTAGGTAATTAAGAAGATCAAATGTATTTATACTTATATTTAAAGAATTGTAACTAGCGTTTTTCACTAAATTAGAGACAAGTATAACTATTATACTATGTAATATCAAAATTTCTGAGTTGTATAATAGAAGTTCTGTGTATAATTCCATATAGATGTTTTTATTACACTGTAATGTCTACATAAGTGTGTAACATGAAAACTAAAAAAATGATGAAAAAATAAAATAATAATGTTTAACACTAAAGTAACAAAATACTTACATCAAATCAGGTCTAAAATGATGAATAAGAGCACAAAATGCGAGTCCATCTTTCCACGAAGTAGACATATTTTCAATAGACACTCCATCGTATCCTTGAGTCACTCGCTTACACCATAGTTCTAATGCTTTAGTGCCACGTCTTTCTCCCATTGTACTTGTTTAAAAAGCTAAAATAAAATACACGAATAATTAGCATACAATAAATGTATAAGTTGGTATAATAACTATCTAATATATTTCTACAGTAATCTCATAAATATATAAAATCCACATCGAATATTTCTATTAAAATTTAAGATAGTGAGTTAAAGTAATATGTTTAAAATGTAATAATAATATTAAGATATTATTCGTCAAAAATATATATACTAAAGCTAAATAATTAAGCTTATGCAGCAGCACAAAATTATACAACCTAACCTATTGTAATGTAAAGTTAAAAATAATTGATTTTGATCAACCTATATAAGGTGCCACACACCTTACAAATTACCACTAAAAAAGTATTTTTTTTAATATTTGCATTATACTTTAATCAGAACTTAGCTTATATACTACATTATATATTAAGTATCTATGTATACATTGTAAACACAATGTCCGGCCTTAAAAATAGACTACATGTACGGTATATGGATAGATCATTAACAATTTTCCGTTTTTTTTCCAACGGTACCTGATTATTATATTGTGAATATAATAGATATATATAAAGCGTTTGTTCTCTTGCGGTCAATACACACATGTGAAGTGTATAACGACTAGATTATATTGTTGTGAATCTTGCTGGACTTATTATATTTTTTTCGTCGAACCCGTTTGACGACACAATACAACTATACCCGCTCGTTACATAACGGATTATTATTTTTATAGTTTAAAAAAGTGTGCATGTATCTGAAAACATTGATATTATAGAATTTTTTCACGTTAATAGACGGCAGATAAAAATGTAGAGGTCAATAACATTTAACAAGGGTTTATCGCCAAGTATAATTACTATAGATATTATAACCTATATTTTAATAGGTATATTAACTATAAAAAAAACTTTTAATTCATATAAAAATGAAGTTAGAAATTAATTTTTGAAGATACATAAAACATCTCATCAATAATTTGATAAAAATAAAAAATCATTTTTTTAAATTCGTATAAGGAGTACGTATACAGGGTGTTTCTGAAGTGTGTGAGGTAAATAGTATACGCATACTCACTGTGATGCCACAAAGAAGAGTTTTTTGGAATTTTTTTTCTAACTTCAAAATCTGGATTTTTGTAAGTTATTTTTAGAATATTATCTCGAATGTAAAAATAAACACTCTAGTCGTATTTTTTGCAAAATTCTCATACGAATCGAGATATCGCATCATTTTTGCGCTTGTCGCGCGTTTTTCGCGCTCGAATCGCCCACTAAAAAAAAAGTCGTGCGACACATCGATTTGTATGAGAATACTGCAAGATAACCAGTGGTGATAATTATTTGTTGTCATTGATAATACACGATTAATTAACACATTGTTTTACATTGTCGACTAATAAAAAATATGAAATAATAACAAAATTAGGGTTAACAGAGTTTTAAACGAATGTATAAGCATGTATTTGTGTCATACCTTTATTAAATAACTTTTAACTTTATAAAATTACTAGCTGAATTACCCGGCGTTGCCCGGAAACAAATTCGTGACAAATAAGATAACGACATGTATTACCATTTACAATCTTAAATTCATAATTATCGATAAGACATAAGGTGAGGATACTAAGCTTAAAATATAAAACTACGTTTTTTGAAGAGTAATTTTTATTATTTTGGAAAAATGCTACATAACTACCGATCAACCAATATTTTTTTATAAACTATATTAGGTATTAGTTTTTTCACCTGGGGCATATATGTAAAAGTTTTTTTCTGAGCTTACACGGAAGCAGGCAACATAAAATTGTTCGTGAGTGAAGCAAAAACCTAACCTAACCTAACCGGCAAAAAGAATAACAACTCCGCCCATTGGGCGATCATTATTTTTAAAATCCCTCAACGTTCTATCAAGTTCCTCAGGACCACCTTTATTCGCCATTGTTGATTCATCCAAAACAATAAAACGTGTCTTGTGGCATCTTGAATATTCGACAATTCATCGATAGTCGATACACAAACATTAAGCAGCGTTCCGACTTATACGAAGCTTCTCTTAAAATGTCGGTCGGTCCGTCCTTCGTTCACCATAATGCGGTGAATTTCTATAGAATATGCGAGAAATTGTGTTTTTTTTTTTTATTATTTTATACACATTATAAACGTGTTATTTTATATATTTAATCTATGGTATTGATTTAAGTTAGCAACGAATAACGATATGAACTATCATGTCGCGCAACGGTGATATGGAAGGGGAAGTTTGGGCGGCCACGTCTAGCCGCCGTCCGTTGCCGTACCGCGAACCTCACCCACCCGTAACTGGTCATTATTTATGATAATTGATAACTCCTTTGTTTTTAAAGTTAGAGAATCTATCAAAATCCATAAACCTTCTCCACAATGAGCTCTTCAATTTAAAAAAAAAATCATAAGGATCGGTTCAGTAGTTTCCGAGAACATATCACTCAAAGGTTTTCATTTTCACATTTATATATTAGATAATAGTTAGAGGTAAAAGGAACTACCTATTTGTGTGTTTATACTGAAATTCCAGTTTTTGGATATCATAGTACCTAACATAATTATTTTGACTCGATGAGATAAACATTTTATTTTATACTATTATTATTATTTATTATTGAACCTAATATTATACTTTTATCGTTAATATTGAATTGACCGTACTCCTTACAGAGCACATGATGAACATTAGTTGGTCTGATTAGAGCTCAGTCCAATACTTGTCATTGAACGACATTTAAAATATTAATATTTATTTTTAAGATTTAAAGTTTTTAATTTAAATTTTGATTTTTGTGCAATAGCGTACACAAACATTGAATATGCAGACATGGTTTTTATGTTGGGTAAGTATTAGTTAATTTAATTAATTATAGTTTAAGTATTTAACTAATATCACCTATTTTACTTTATCACAAAACATACCCATGTAACTATTTTAAGTTGTCGTAACCGACATGTTATACGAAACAAACTATTTATTTGTTTATTAATTGTGACTAGGTTTGGCTGATGGAAATGGAAATCTTGCAGCTAGGTTATGGGCAGAACGTAAATAATAATAATAGTATAAAATAAAATGTTTATCTTATCGAGTCAAAATAATTATGTTAGGTACTATGATATCCAAAAACTGGAATTTCTGTATAAACACACAAATAGGTAGTTCCTTTTATCTCTAATTATTATAACTTTATAAAGTTAAAAGTTATTTAATAAAGGTATGACACAAATGCATGCTAGTAAATTTTATCGTTTAGAACTCTGTTAACCCTAATTTTGTTATTATTTCATATTTTTTATTAGTCGACAATGTAAAACAATGTGTTAATTAATCGTGTATTATCAATGACAACAAATAATTATCACCACTGGTTATCTTGCAGTATTCTCATACAAATCGATGTGTCGCACGACTTTTTTTTTAGTTGGCGATTCGAGCGCGAAAAACGCGCGACAAGCGCAAAAATGATGCGATATCTCGATTCGTATGAGAATTTTGCAAAAAATACGACTAGAGTGTTTATTTTTACATTCGAGATAATATTCTAAAAATAACTTACAAAAATCCAGATTTTGAAGTTAGAAAAAAAATTCCAAAAAACTCTTCATTGTGGCATCACAGTGAGTATGCGTATACTATTTACCTCAAACACTTCAGAAACACCCTGTATAAAGACAAAATTATTACTTGTGCATTAACTTTTTAAGGAGTTATATATATAGATGATACCAAAAACTTATAAACATGTAATTTTTTTAGAATAGTTTTTGAAAAATTACAAAAATTGACCTGCAAACAACTACCAAAGAAACGGTATCAAGTAACCTATCAAAGAACGGCGGAACGTACAGAAAACCAGTACAATCTATTTTAGTAGTTAAATTGTAACTCAGGTGTAACTCTAATGATTAAGGGCTCATAAATTATAGTATTTTGAGTCGTTGTTCATTTTATTATTTAAGTATAGTTGTCAATAAATGAGGAATATTTTATTGACCCTATAAAGTACATACTACATTATGTTTGAATAGAAAAACATCCGAAACGTGTTATAAGTATCGTTTTTATTTTTAATTTGAATTTATTTACTGGGTATTTAAAATCTTATGTCTGAAGAGTAAAATAAGCTGTTGATTTATTTTCTGTTTTATTAATATAGTAACACAGAACAATATTTGATAAAGCTGTACAGGATTAGTACATTAGGTATTGGTCATGTTTCATTTTATATTCATGTATTACGTACATGGAAAATGTTATAGGAACTTTTTATGCTCAAAAACTACATATGGCATTCATACTTAAGAAACAACATTGATGTTGTATACATTTACCAAGTAAAAGTACACACGATCTCTGAATCCTGACTACTTTTTAATTTATGTTGCATACAAGGGAAATAATATATATAGTTGTAGTATATTTCTTTTAAAATTAACTATCAGAAGATAGATCTGATTGTACTTGGACGTTTCCGAAAATTGAAATCAAACGCAAATTTATTACAAGGCAATAATTCTACAAGTTACCTTATACGGATTTAGCGGATATCAGGGTGAGTCCTTGGGTCTTCTAGATATGGACAAATATAAATGAAAATAAAGTAAAGCAACTCATCTTAGTTATATTTTTTATACTGATTTTTGATATATCTAGGTTTCCGTCAACTACGTACTACATAATATTGAATATTAACATAATACGATGGTAACCGGTAGAAAATAAGACAAAACTATTGTAACAAACAATTATTCTAACTGTATATAATGGTAAATTATACTACACATAACGTAGTTTAATATTTAACACATTATATATAAAGCTAGTACATAAACACAAAACTTTTTGTAATATAACATGCAAAATTATAATGTGAGTTATAATTAGAATACAATTATATATACTTTTAAATAACTGTACAATTACTTTTGAAACTCAGTTAAATTAATAAACATAATATACGTTTATAATTATTCGCTCGTTATACAATTTTCATCAAC